ATCCTGATGTCGAATTCTTTTTCATATAGTCCAGCTTCTCTGATTATTTGCTCAGCATAGTTTTATTGAGTAAACCAAAAAAAAAAAAAACCCAAACCCTTTGCTGTCAAGTTGATTCCAACTCACAGTGACCCTGTAGTAGAACTGCCCCATAGGGTTTTCAAGGAGCGGCTGGTGGATTAGAACTGCTTACCTTTTGGGTAGCAGCAGAGCTCTTAACCACTGCACCACCAGGACTCCAGTAGAACTCCCCATATTGTTTCCAAGGCTATAAATCTTTACATAAGTAGACTGCCGCATTTTTCTTCCATGGAGCGGCTGGTGTGTTTGAACTGCTGACCTTTCAGTTAGCAGCCAAGTGCTTTAATCACTCACTGCACCACCAGGGCTCCTCATACAGATTGGATAAGTATGGTGAAAGGATACAACCCTGACATACACCTTTCCTGATTTTAAACCACACAGTATTCCCTTGTTCTGTTCGAACGACTGCATCTTGGTCTGTGTACAGGTTCTGCATGAGCACAGTTAAGTGTTCTGGAATTCCCATTCTTCACAATGTTACCCATAAAGTGTTATGATCCACACAGTTGAATGCCTTTGTATAGTCAATAAAACACAAGTAATCATCTTTCTGGTATACTGTGCTTTCAGCCTGCTATCAGCAATGATATCCCTTGCTCCCTGTCCTGTTCTGAAATCTGCTTGACTTCTGGCAGTTCCCTGTTGATGTACTGCTGCAACCGTTTTTGATAATGTTTTTGATAATCCGTAAAGATTACAGCCTGGGAAACCCTATGGAGCAGCTCTACTCTGTCATATGGGGTCGCTATGAGTCAGAATTGACTGATGGCACACAGCAGCAACCACAATTGACCTGTTACTAAGCTCTTGTTTGTATGACTACCTGAACCGTGAGGCCTGTCTGCCTGACATTCGCATTTTGGGGTGGTTCCACTTGAACTCATTGACTGACAAAGGAAGAACCCAAAGACCTTGCTAATCAAACAGAAGTAATATACTGAAGAGTTCAGCCAGCCTGGCCCTGGCAACACCTTGATTTTATATGAAAAAGTGGCTGCTGCCTTTCTGGGGGAAACTTTATCCCCAGCTTCATCACCTGGATTTTGCTCTTTTCCTCCAGGGAGTGTTCACCTTATCCTTTGATAGACAGAGTGAAATCAGATCATCTCAATCCAGCTGGAGATTAAACTGATTTGAGACAAAGTTGCAGAATTTCAAGTCTCTGTCTACTTCTGGTGGGCTGTTTGTGTAGAGTGTAACCCTCCAAGGGGTCCCAACTGAGGACTTGGGATGTTTGCTAGTGTCCCCTGCCTCACAAAATCCTGAACACCAATGTGTAGCTCCTGAGCACTGTAAGTCTACAGGAAGCTCAGCTCCACTTTACATTGGCTTATAGCTTCATTCTTAGCCTCTTGCATTGTGCTGTTTAAGAGAGATAACAGCTCTGTCTAGAGCTCATTTTTCCGTACCTTCCTTCTTTTTGCGAATTTAAGTTTTGACTTCCTTTCCAGATTTGAACACCAATTTCCAGCTCTAGGAGATTGCCAAAAGTTCTGGCTTCTCTGCCTCTTAGTAGTCACCCTCTGCCTGGGCCCTTTGCTCAGATTCTGCCATGCAAAGGGCCGGAGCATACATCACTCACATGTGCTGGCGAGAGGAACATCAGTGTCACTGAGCTCAGTGTGGCTTTAAACCCAGGGCTGATAGTGGTACAGGCTGTTGCAGAACTAGGCTCACTGATAGCAATGGGGATGATAGAACACAAAACAGAAGCCAAGAGAGGTGCTGAGCCTTTGGAGCAGGTGGATGCAATTATCCTTATAAGTGGCCAGGTTGAGTGGTAGCCAAGGGGGCGTGACCTACACAGAGTTATGGAGATGGTTATCAGAACACAGGGTGCTTAGGAACAAACTAGACAGGCAGCCAACAAGGGTACTATGTAACTTGTTCAATCAGAAGGAATCAAGGTGAACCGTTAGGAGGCTGAGGGCAGTTGCCCCAATTAAAAGTCACCATCCCTTGTCTAGTCTCTGGACCTGAGCCAGTTTTCAAACACAGAATTAATTGTTTAAAGAGGAAACTGGGTCCCTGAAAAAATCGCCTTGCAACATCACAGCACTGGTACACAATATTATCCATTCTCTCAGTCCTTCTCAAAGGGACCTGGAGCCATTTACTCAGGTGACTGTACACTCGGGCAAGGGGAATATGAAAACATTGTGAGGATTTTGAGACTCAAGGTTTGAATCTACACGATAGCCAGGACCCAAAGTATCATCATAGCCTCCCTACTTGAGTCAGGGTATATGGATGGCAGCTAATAAATGATGTCATGGTCAAGGTCTAACTCATAGTGGGTCCACTGTGTCTGCTGCTGTTGTTGTTAGGTGCCATCGAGTCAGTTCCGACCCATAGCGACCTTATGTACAACAGAACAAAACGCTGCCTGGTGCTGCTCCATCCTCACAAAGGTGTTAATTCTTCTTCAGTCTTCCTTATTCATTGTCCAGCTTTTACATGCATATGAGGCAATTGAAAACACCATGGCTTAGGTCAGGTGCACCTTAGCCTTCAAGGTGGTATCTTTGCTTTTTAACACTTTAAAGGGGACTTTTGCAGCAGATTTACCCAATGTAACACATGTTTCGATTTCTTACCACTGGGTCTAATCACCTGTTACTCATTTTTCTCTGTTTCCAGTATATGATTGGAGTCCTTGGGTGGCACAGACCATTAAGCACTTGGCTGCCAGCTGAAAGGTTGGTGATTAGAGTCTACCCAAGGGAACCTCAGAAGAAAGGCCTGTCTACTTCAGAAAAATCAGTCATTGAAAACCCTGTGAAACACAGTTCTACTCTAACACAGGTGGGATCGCCATGAGTCGGAGTACTCCACAGCAACTGTTTTTTAAATATATAGTTAGTGCCTTCCAAGCCAAGAAGAACTGATCCATTTGGGTCATGGTGTTGGGCAAAAAATACTGAATATACCAGGGACTGCCAGAAGAGCGAACCAATCTGTCTTGGAAGAAGTACAGCTAGAATGTTCCTTAGAAGCAAGGATGACAAGACTTCGTTTCACGTACTTTGGACGTGTTATCAGGAGGGACCAGTCCCTGGAGAAGGACATCATGCTTGGTAAAGTACAAGGTCAGTGGAAAAGAGGAAAACCCTCAAGGAGATGGATTGACACAGTGGCACAGGTATTCTTAACTCCTTTTCCTTTTGTCCATAAAACTCTGAAAGTCAATGTTTTAATGAATGTGTAATGAGACTGGCCTTACAGAGAGGCTGACTAGAGACTCTGGAGGTAGTTCTGGGAGACTGCTGTACCAAGCTTGACCAACAAGAACAAAGCTCAGAGGGAGCCTTGAACCTGGTGCTTTTGGAGGCTGGGAGAAGAGCAGATCTGATATTTTCTTTTGCTTTGTATCTCAGACTCTGGGGTTGAGGTTGGAGGGGCAAGTGTAGAGGGATGAAAAAGGGATGGAAAATACTAATGATGGGAGACTGGACATCTGTAATTCAAGAAAGGAAGGAAGGAAGGAATCAAACCTTCCAAAACATGGAAAAGATCACACAGTATTATGAAAGAAAATGATTATTGAAAAAATACAATCTCACTTTCTAACACATAATCTATTTTTATTTTTCTGTATGCTATCCTGGACTTTGTATGAATTCACTGTTTTATGTGGTTGAAAATTCAGCAAAACAGAATTTGGATTCTATGGCAAGATTGAACTATAATCCTGATTTCAATCTGTAATTTTAGCCAGAATTCATCCATATTAGACTATTGTCCACGTTAACTATTAATGACTGAAATAACCAAGTCTAATGTGTGTCTGTCCTAGCATCTCATTATTTTGGTCTTAGAAACGCTGCAGAATAAATCACTTTGGCAGTCTTTTTGACTCTAGTAGTGTTAAATTGGCCATAAAAACCATATTTGCTCTATGCATAGACAATACGAATCCATCATTCTCCAAATTGCTGCATCCCTTTGTACTACTGGGTCTTAGAAGACGTTGAGGTTGAGCAGTAATAACTAGTGTGTGGCCATTCTCCTGCACACGAGTCGCTTTGGGCCAGCAGAGGGCGAACGAGCTGAGCTCTAGGACTCCGGCCAGAGGAGCCCGGGGGTGTGGCTTCTGCATCATTGACGGACAGCTGAAGATGCGGGCGACGATGAGGTAATACGAGCGTGGAGCGAGGGGGCGTCAGGGTGAGCGCCCCAGTGTTACAGAGCGTGGGCGCCCGCCGGGGACACTGGAGCTCTCGCTGCTGCATTAAAAAAAGAAAATCCCATTTCTGGGAGGGAGCTGTAAAATTGCAACCCGGCGGCAGCGCATTTCCCGAGCCCGAATCATGGCAGGTGGCTCCGCAGCAGCAGGGGACGGGGGAACCCCGAGCGCACGCGGGTTGGCAGTAGCTCCCCGCCCGGGAGGGCCGATCCCTTCTGGAAGCCATTGAGCGGAGCCACAGGCAGGAGGAGCTCTCGCCCAGGCGGCGACAGCCTTTGGAGCTGCGAAGGGGTGGGGAGGGAGGGGAGCAAGGGGAGGGGACGGAGCGTGCCACTCCGAGCGCGGCCGTGAGGCCGATCCCACCCCGGCGTCTGCAGAGCCCGAGGCGCAACTGGTGTGAGGGCTCGTCCCCGCCCGCCGGCACCCAGCCCGCGCCCGCCGGGAGCTTTGCACGGCGGGGCCCGTTTGCTGCGAGCCTGGCATTTGCATGAAGCGCCGCGACTCCTCGGAGCAGCGGCAGCAGCGGCGGCGGCAGCGGCGGACCCAGGTGGCGGCGACCGGGCCCCG